TTGCATATTCAAATGCCGCCTCTAAATTCGAATAGTTTCAGTGGGCTACCGTTGCTAGGTTTGACCTGCTACGAAGTTATCTCTTTGTTTGCATCGAACAACAACAACAACTTATTTTAAGTTATGCTCAATGATCTATCTCTCTCTTTCTCTCCCTCTCTAAATATATATAATATGTCATATTGTATTTTTACCCGGGGTAAGGGTTTTGAGGGTCGTCTAGTTTCCATCGCTCGCAGTCTTGCCTATTTCAGGCACGACTCTCGAGGTAAGTGCAGCGCCAATGATTTGCACGCCCAAATTATATTCCGTTACATCGAAATCATTCATCTGATCTCTTTAACGACTGAAATATAGTAGTTATGTTATTGTTGTTAGCAGTAATATGCCTTACGTTCTCTATCTGTGGCCGAGTCAGATGGAGGATTCGCTCATCTCGCCCCCTCCCACTCTATTTCCCTTTTACCCTCTCGTTTTTTCGGTTTACGATTTCGTCCCATTATGACGAGAAGTATTGGTATGAATATCTAGTGGCTATTTGGACGTTCGGTTTCTCTACGTCAGATGCTTTCTGCTTAGCTCGTTTTTCTCTCTTGCCCGAACTCTATTGTACAGTGACAGGTGATCTAAGTGGTCTTTATCCTTAATCGTTCTGACGCTGCGTACCGTTGCCTGCTCTATAGGTATAGTTACTATTGCTATAATTACGATACATTAATGTCCTTCTGGCGGGCAGGTACGCGCGTACAATTCTTCAGTCTGCTTTGGCGCGTGAGAGGCTACAGCAACTCGGCAATAATATTTATTCGGCAGTTTTGCGGTTTTTTACGTTGTTCTTGCTCTGCGTTGTTGTTGATCTCGCCGCGCTGAAAGCGATCAGACGTCTCCTGTGCCCCGAATCATCAGACATGTTTCCGTATCGATAGCATGACCGTGTTAGTTAGATAGCTAGCTAGCTCACTGTTCGTTGTTATCAGTGATAAACCGTGGTCGTTCGTGTCGTTATGGCGATATCCACTACGGCAGGTCAGCATTAAAGCAAAATTTCTTCTTATTATTACGGTTGTTGTTGTAAAGAGAGAATAACGAAAGGATTGTTTTTAATAATTGTATTCGGAACGAATATCTATGGATTACAGTTTGCTGTTCTTTCCTTTTTCCTTTGCGTATAATTTAATTATGTCATATTTACTCGCGCAACATATAGCGAGGCATAAGTCTTGCCATCTGTTACGTTATGTTCGTGTGTGTGTGTGTGTGTGTACGTGCGTGTGGGGGGCGCTGTGATTTGTTTTCTCCTACATGGCGACCTGTAGAAATAACACCTTGTACTTCATTACTACACATTATATTAGTATTCTTATCATCATGATCCTTATCACCATTATTTCTTATGTTATTATCATCATTGAGTGCTTTCATCTTCTTCTTCTCCTCTTATATTTCGTTCGTTGGCTCCGATTAGTATCATTGTGAATTATGGTTGTTTCTGTCACTGCTCACTTAAAAAAGCATGTTGCTAAACCGAGCGTCATCATTAGTATTCATTATTATAGTTATTTGTTTATAAAATAAATAATTATCGTGGATATTTTCACACACTCTCACACACACACACACACACACACACATACACATATATATATATATATATATATATATATATATATATATAGACCATTATATCTGTATGTAGATGGATTGTGTATAAGTGTCGAGGTTTTCCGTCCTGTGCTTATCATTTACGAGGCATAGCACTGAATTGTGATAGAAGCAGCAGTAATAACCTTGGTAGCAAATAAACAAAAACTATGTACACCGGTAGCAACCATCGATTCAATTGATGTAGAGAGACAATTCCTATAATAATTGTAATTATATTAATAGTATAGCATCAATGACAATATTATAGTAATATATATATATATATAGATACAATGTATGAATACGCCGGGTATCTAAGTATCTGCTATTGAAGTTTTTCACCGTGAGTGTCCAATAAAGTTTCTCACTTCTTGCGATTCGCGTCGAAACTAAACAATATAAACGTATATCTATATGACTTGTGATCCTGAAGCTTACGTGAAGCGCTTTTCATTTTTGGATTCTGATTTCTTCCATTTGTCTTACGTTCTCGCTTTTTCATTCTCTCTTTATTTGTATTTATGTGTGTACATGATTCCGAACAGGAATCCTCGTATCGGTCTTGTGTTGCATCGCAGGCCGATGTTGGTGTACATTGATCAGGCCCACACCACGTTCATACGGTTGGTATACCTTTGAAAAGATTTTGCCGAGGCTGGACATTCCTCCCTGCTCCCGGCTTCCGTCTTCTGCTATATAACCATAACAGAAGTTGTTGTCAAGCGTATATTTATCTGACGTACGGACAGATGGCTCCTGTCTGTGTTTTTTTTGCGATTGTTATGGAATTACAATCAGTCGTGTCGAGATTAGTTTTTTTTCTTCGTCACATTTCGTTGATCTTTGCTTTTCTGCTCTCCGGATGGCAATACGTTCTTGAATTGATAATCATTATTATCAGCAGCAGCAGAGAGTCGCTCCGTCTATTCAAGATCGTGCTTACTTCATCATTTGTTCGTTATGTCTTTTGTATTATTTAAATATTAATTAGTACGAGTACTATTATCATCATAGTCCTTATCGTTTGTGTGTCATTCATAGAGGTTAGCTGTTTTTGTACAAAACACCATTTGCTACTGTCGCTGTTGTTATTCCAAGTTTGTTTGTCGGTTACTTTCCATCTTTAGTAATTACTCCGATCGTATTGTATTGTATATGCTTCGTGTGGTGCCGATGTAATAAACTGGATGGAACAACCTGGTCGTCCTGCTCTGGGCAGACTCGGATTGAGTTCTTCTTTTCAAATATTGTTCTCGTTAATAATAGTCCCTCAGTTTTAAATTCTGTTTGGCCATTAGTGGTTAGAAACGTAAAAGTATACAATGCTTTTATGTATTGGTGATTTCGGAACGCATGCCCTTTCGTGGATTAGCATACGCGCAATGCTAGAAGTATCAAAGTTCTCATATTCTTGGACATGTGACGAAGGCGTGTAGTAAACGGTCTACGGGCAGCACAAAGGCATTTTGCTGAAACATACGTGACAGCATTTGGCTTCAAGGGCTTCATTGGGCTAGCGTAGTTTGTCGTTGACAGATCGTTAACAAGTTCCATGTATATAGTCATGCATGATAAAGCCGACATGTTTGTTTATTCAGGCTTGCGTGTTGTGTTTATTAGGTTTGTTGGTTGTACATTTAGTGTTTTACTTATTTTCTACAGTTCATCTTGGTCACCTTCTTCACTTAGAAGCTGCAAAAGCTTTTTCGCTGCTGGTGCTGATAGTGGTTAAGAAGCAATTATGTTTTCAAACGGTTTGCTTATGTGTTGTGTCTATAAAGCACCTACGCGCTTAAGCGCTATGGCGACGAGCAGCTGTAGGTCACTATTCGTGCTGAAGCTGATTCCCAGAAACTTTGTTTACTTGGTATCGCTGCATTTGTCTGCTTTATTATGCCTATGATGTCCGTCTATATGTACTCATATGCGTGTAAGACGAATACGTCATTGAGTCATCAGTTCTACCCATTTTTTCGTATAGGTGTTTCTTCATACAGACGTTGTCCATTTTCGTTATTGATGCTTTTCACCATTGCGGCCCAAAGCGGCAAAGTTAGGTACGTAAGTAAACGCCCATTCAAATCTCTATATCATCATTTTTTTAGTTATGTTGTTTTCTTTCTGGCTATGGAACAGCACATGATGACACAGCAACGAAATAATAGGAAACAGCACGAGTTCAATCACAATGGCTGCACCGACGTCTCTCTCCTAAGAACTCAGCTGGCTGGCCATTGAGGCCATCGCGGGTCGCAAGCTTTTCTTCTCGAGGAGGCGCTGTGGTTAAATTGCTTCGAGCGGACGTCGTTTGCACCGCAATCCGGGACCCTCGTTACATTAATGAGCAGTGATTAATATCCTATATATTATCTCCGTCATTCGTCACTTTTTATAGCTAATTCCCTTTTTGCCTCTGTTAATTCCGTCTCTCAGGAACAACGTACTACTATACAAAACTGTCGAGGGCCTCCGGGGGAAAGCGGTTACGAAACAAGGCTCTCTGGGAATGTTCAGGACGTGAAATGATGCAGGAAAAAAGGTTTAGGATATTGGAGGTAATTAGATTAGGAAAGAGTGACGAAGTTATGGTATGTAGTTATGGCGGAAGATCATGTGCGGATTGGAACGGGTTAATCAAAAACAACCAAGTACCAAATTTATGTTAGAGGTGCGGCTTTTGTCCTAATGCTTTAATATATGATGAATGATGAAAGAACGGGCTAACGTACGAAGAGTGGTTATGCACTAGATACTCAGTTGCGTTAGGTGACTATTGGTAGATTGTTCGTGATTAATCATATGTGCATTGGGAAGTGTTTCAGGGGAAGCGGATAAGCCAAGGTCGGGGGATTTCAAGGTCAATCAAGATCACTGTACGTAGATGATGAGCTCTGAACGTTTATCGAGGAGGGTAGTGGTGGTGCGGTAATGTTTTGTGGGGAAGTCTGAGGCTGGTTGATTAACATTGCAGCTGGCTGCAGTAATAGTTGTAGAGGAGATCGTAGTGTCGGAAGGCCGTAAATATTCGAGGTCGTCAAACTAGGATTCAGAGTGATATTAGTGGCGATGGTCGTGGTATTCGTATCAATGGGACTTATAGTTCTGCTCGGTTGAAATTCGGCGCAGCTGCTGAAGACTCGGCAGCCACTCTGATTCTGGTCCGGGTGATGCTGGGTTTGCTGTTGCTGTTGTGGTGCTATTATTGGTGATGGCTGTGAAAGCTTCGACAGAAGCTGGTGCGTTGGCAAATAAGGGTAAAGAGTTAAATGGGTGAAGTAGTAGCTTGAATAACATAGGGGCGAGGCGCTCGGTGACGGACTCGGTTGAGGGTTGAGCTGGAGGGGCGGGTCGGAGGGCGACAGGGTGAGAGGGGGCATCTACAGTTGGGTGGAATTAGTCGGATTTGGCTGGCCAGGTTGGCCCGAAGGCACTGAGCGACGCCTGGACTCGGCCTGAAGAATTTCATGGGCTGCACGATCCATCTGCTCTTGCGTCAAGTTGAATGCCTCGGCGAGCTCCCGCTGGGCGGCTCGCACGAAGTCGGAATCACAGAACTTGCCTAAGCCCTGCAACAAAAAAAGCGGAAAGAACGCATAGCCGTATGAGAAGGTCAGTGCGGCGTCACTGTAGTGTGCCTAAATGATAGAATATTAACGAATGATTTGACAAACAAACATAAAAGTAAACGGTGAGAAGAAAAAGATCGATAGAATGCGACTTCAGTATAAAAATAATGTCAGCCTCATCTTTCTTCTTTATTGCCGCGGCTCGAAGCAGCAATAATCTGTCAATGTTTTTCTCTCCCGATTCAAAAATACGTATGCAAGAGTAGTAACTGAATGGTTAGCGAATGAGCTGAACGGCGACTAGAGCATGATGATCTAGGCAAGACAGAATACAGCGCAATGAGCCATTGCTATCGCTGATTGATGCATTAAGCGATGAAGCTGGTTGTTCCGCTGTTATTTATACAGTTATCACTGTGGTGATTATTATAAAAGGAATGATGGATTGAGCTGCTTGTGATATAGCTGACGACCTAAAGCTTTGGCGACCGGCTTTGATAGTGCGAACCCCACTTTCGCTGCCTCTCGTTGTCGTTGTCGTCGTTGTCGTCGTCGTCGTCGTCGATGTTGGATAGGCTCAGTTGGGTTTGAAAGGAGGCATGAGACGAAGAGGATGTAGGAAAGAAAGTGAATGACATGGCCATGGCGACAAATGAATTCCTGTGGCATTGCTCTGCTAGCGGAGACAGCAGCGCCGGCCGCCGCAAATGATTACCTCGTTTCGCCTGGACAACCGTTCTAGCCGTGGTGCGTACCTGCTCATGCAGCACTCGGCCCACGAGATTCTCAGCGCTGCCAGCGAGCGTGTGAGCCCCGGAGTGTGCGACGTTAGGATCTAGAGTGGCCTGAATGTGCGGCCTCTGCCCGTGGTAGGAGGCCCGGTGTGCCGGAAGGAACTTGTTGGGAGCGAGCTGCTGTTGTTGTCGTTGCTGCTGCTGCTGCTGCTGCTGCTGTTGCTGCTGCTGTTGGTGTTGCTGTGGTGATGGTTGTTCGAGCCTGCGTGTCTGCTCCTGTAAAACGGCTCCGAGCTTCTCCAGCTTGGTGGCCGCTAGAGCTGCCGCCGGCACAGTGCCAAGCGGGTCTGAAACTCCGACCCTGAAATCATCATCAAGCGTCATCCCACACAACTCATCATCAACAACTTTGTCGTCTTCGTGCCTCGTTGTCATAACAATCCCACCGTCATCATCAGCACCATAACAATCATCATGATCATCACCGTGTCTTCCACGTGATCGACTGTTCAAAATTCTGCTGTTTTTCAGACTGTTTCGCGCCAGAAAGAGCCTTGTAGCACCTTTGTGCTGGTGACTTTTTCTGTTTGTATAGAAAAACTGTTTGGTTCTTTGAGCTCGATAGAGTTGGGGGTAAAAGGGGTTCGCGTTGGAAGAACGAAAACAAAAGCTGTGCGCTCCGAGACAACAAATGTTGCTTGGGACGTGAAACGTGAAATTGGCTAGCGGCAGTAGGTTAGCGCACGGGTAGCGGGAGGGGTTAGATAATGAGTGCGCGAATAGATCCGCGTGCAAAACAAATCGAGAAGAAACAGAGCAGACGACAACTAGTCCTGTTATTATGAGCAGACGAACATGCTCATATATACATAAATATAGATCTATCGGAGCCAAAAGGGAGTGACATGACAGAAGATTTGAAATGACTAACGCATGGAATGATGTGTTCTACGGTGAAGGAGGAGGGGTCTACAGGTAATAGGAGATTGTTTAGCGAACTAAGAGATTGGTTAATTGGTTCATGGTACCTGTGCACAGTGGAAAGCTGGGGTGAGTTGGAGGCCGTCGTCAGGTGCGATTGGCCAGAGGAGCTACTCCTATTTAGCATACAATCAGAGATGGACAGTTGCTCCTGGTCCGTGGAGTCCTGCTTTGCAAGGCAGCCCAACCGAAAAGATCCCCCTCTGCTGTGCCTCCTAATTTTAGGGCGAGCCGCAAGCAACTCGCCCGAACTTTGAAGAGTCTCGTGAGATGATCTGTTGACGATGACGATGATGATCGCAAAGTCATTACCAGTGAAGAGGGCATAATGTAGAAGGGTCACACGCGAACAGAGCGCAACAATGATGCGGCGAAGATCGAGGAGATTGGTCAGTGGCAAAGAGATCGGTTAGTGGTAGAGGCAAGGTTAATCGCAAAGCTTATTATTAATTGACCGATTGGTTGACTGATTGATTGTTTTTATGACTTACGTACGTGAAATCGCAATGATAATCATAATTATCGTACTACTAATAATAATAACAAAATCATCGTACTGCACTATGAAAGCTCTTTTCGCGTATTGATTTCTTTAATTTCGTTGTATAATTTCGTGTAAGTCGAGACGCGTTGCGGCAAATAGAGTATTGGTCGTACAGAATGAATATGAACCAAAATTTTGCGTTTAGCTGATTGATTGATGAAGTTTACCGGCAGACGAAGGACAAATCCAATAAAATAGGACGTCACATACTACAGCTAATTCTGTCTAAATGTCAGGTTGTTTTGACATAAACAAATCACCTTATCAAGCCTATTCTGGGACATGTGACTCATAATGCTGCCGGTCAGTATATTTGATGAGTGGCGCTTATAGCGGTAGCTGACAGGCGTGCAAATGACTTGAATGAAAACCTAAATGAGCGAATTTACTAAATAATAGTTAAAACGTCAGTCACGCACGTCAAGTGAGCATTTGAAGATGAGCTATATGATTGAGGTGTATAAATAATCGGGAGGGTTGGTGATCGGCGCCGACTTGTAGCTGTCGACTTCCAGTCTTCATCCGTATCGTCGTCAGTGCTCGTTCCATACACGGTTCTGCGAAGACGATTGTTGCGGATTGCGAAGGCGATAGGTGAATCAGTCAGCCCCGCGTGAATGTCGAATCCAGTAGAGAAAAGAGGGCACAAACGGACCACAATGCAGCCACATATTAGTAACGAACTTCGAAGGTTAGGCGAGAAGCAGTTATTACTACTTATGGCTAGCTAGAGTGTTACAGTCTTAGTGAAGCATAGAAGGATTGAAGAGCAGGCGGCGAAGCATGCCACGCAAAGAAGTAATACCATAAACATATCTGGACAATATCGACGGCTAAATCGTCGATGAAACGAATCGTCGAAAAGAGCGAAGCGGCGGAATGTAGATCTTGACGAATCTAAAAGAAAAACTTAGCGTCGTCAAATAGACGGAGGAATAATACAAGATCACAGTTGAATCAGTTTGCCGATAGAGTGAGCTGGAATGGGAGAATCGCTGTTGACTCACAACTCAGCGAAGCCCACAGATGAGGACCGATATGATTATTGTACCTCTAACAATCTTTCTCTGCGGTAAAGGCGCACGTTTTGTTTAGTAATGCGATCCATACGACCATACAATTAAGGTCCAAGCTAGATAAGGTGGGATTGATTTCCAATATAACTTGAACAAGTTCCGCGTTCCGGAACGCCTGGTGTGCATGCGAAGACACTGCTTGGGCCTTAGCTTGACCCCTATTCAAGGTCACTTTCGAGGGTTTTGGGGTGGTCTTTGGTGAAGAAAAGGTACACACGCACAGGTTTAAAATAAGATGAACGATAGTTACGAGTACGAAACGATTACGCAGGAGCGCCGCTGAGTTAGAGAGTAACATAGCCATCATTGGCGCGTGTCGTCTCTCGTCGACCGTTGCCCATTACTACACACTGACTACTAGCATCACTAGGTTAAAACTACCCGAAGGAGTTTTAAGGAGCGATTTGATACTCCTTCGTGGAGTGAGTGGTACTACCTGTTTCACGGAGGTGGGTCATATATCATTCTTAGTTTATAAATAAAAGTGCCACACATCAGCTTAGGAACATTCTGAGTAGTTTACGGGGCAGTTTTATCGTTTACGTGCTATTGGATACGTAAGGCACGAATCAGGCATACATCTGGCAGCTACTTATCTGGCACACATAGAAACAGATCGAGGCAGTGGCGTCCTTAGGGTCGGACGGTCTGCTCCCCATATATATATATGTATATATATATATGTGTATATATATATATATATATATATATATGTGTATATATATATATGTATATATATATATATAGTGTGTACGAGCAATACATTACGTGGTGCACTACATAACGTACATCGGGCAACGGGACTTGGGGGAGGCGGGCAGAGATAACTACTACGAAGAATATATGGCACCTTGAGTAAGTCCCAGTAGGGAACCCGTGTGAATCACCTTGAAGCGGAGTGACTTGCACTCAACGAGTGCAAGTACTGAACAATGTTGGTCTCAATGTCAGGTGGTTGCAGGTTAGTCACTAAGCGGTAATTTCCTGTTTTGGGTTGCTGATGCTGTAGCTGATGTAGAAACTGTTGTTGTTGATGATGGTGTTGTATTAATGTAATAACTGGTGATATGGCTGTCGCTGTTGATACTGAGGAAATTGCGATTGGTGCTGCTGTTGCCATGGTGGCCTCCGAGTGCGTTTCCGGACTTGTTGTAATTGCAATAGACCTTGTTGTTGTTGGATGCTGATGCATTACTGTAATTGCGCCTGCTGCAGTCCTTGTGGGCTGCTCGTAGTAGTGTAGGGGCAAAGACAACTGGTGATGCGAACCGCCAGCTGCCGCCTGCTTGGAATGCTGTGGAGTAGGTAGGGAAAGTTGTGTGGCGGCCGCTGCGGCTGCAGCGTGAATAGCTTCAGTGGTTTCGACAGAGGTCCCGCTACCGGCGGCCACGTGTGTGGCGCTCGAAGCGGTGTAGAGGATTCGGCCGGGAGCGGGCTCTGCCAGGGACCTCTCTCGACTCAGCCGTTGTGGGGAGGTTAACATCTCCTGAGAACCACCCGAGCCTCGTCCCCCCAAAGAAAGGCTTGATAGAAGTCGCTGCGAGAACGACAGACGTCGTCCTTGAAGGAACGCAGTGTCAACATTCAGTCCTAGTTCTTCGAATTCCGACGAATAGCTATATGCAAGATCGAAACAGATGAGGCAATGAATAAAGTTCGGGTCAAGTCTGCGTGCAAGTTAGCGTGTCGATTTCAAATGTTATTCAAGTTCATATGAAAATGTGTGTGTATAGGCAGAGCTAACAGTGCATGAGGAGGTCAGATAACAACTATAGGTCAACATCATAAGAAGTAACTTGGAGTAGATAAAAGTTAAGGCGATAGGAGAACAACTACAATATTGGCAGGACTGATGATAATATCAGTTACCAAGGGTCGAATAAGAAGAAGACTTCGTATCTCAGGTAGCTAGGGTATTGGAAACCGTTGTTGTTAGGCAATAGTTTCAGTTTAGTCAGCTGTGCATAGCAGCTCTAAGTCGTTATTGTCGTTAGCCTGGCTGATTGACAGTTACTAGATGTCATTGCTGTCTAGATTGATGCTAGTTAATTTTGTCGACTTATTCGAATACATGTACATGTGTTCATGTACAATGGCAAAGACGCACATCATCGACATGCCGATTAGTTATTTAGCTGGCATCGAATGCTCCCATGCGTTGTTGCGCGTTCAGTGTGTTCATGTTATTGCTGTTCTTACTCTGAACCGATGATTTTCGATTAGGTCGTTGGATTAGTGCCTGCACAGCAGCAGGTACCCAGCCAATACTATTGCTCTTAATTATTATAATCTAATATCATCTTATCGGCGAGTGTGCAATCACTTGACAAGTTCTGTTTTATGGACCATTTTGCTCAAGTGACATTGTGGTCTTAGCTTCAGCGCTAAAGCCTATTGTTGTACTGTATTGATATGTTATTATTGATTAATAATATTGGTATTATTTTACACTGCGTTTTTGTCGAGTCCTGTTTTCCCGACTTATTTGTTGTTGTCTCAGACGGTTTTTTTTAAATAGTCATTTTACTTCGACGCGCTAGCACTGCGCCGACCAATAATTACGCACTACTGGCGATCAATTTTGAACACATTTATTCTATCCTTGCTCGTATGGGCCTCGAGATGTTAGGATCCTTCATTCTTGTTATATGTTCCTAAATTTATACTTACGGCGGGCTGTCAGAAGGCTGCAGTTTGACCTGCAGCGGGATGGCGGCGGCCGCTTCCCCCCTTTCGGCCACATCGAGGGCGCGTGGTAAGCTTGCAGGTGGTGACACCTTACGGAGCATCACCCCGTTGTTACCGAGCTGCCGGGGGGACTTGGCCCCCGTTGTGCGGTGCCGGAAGGACGACCACACGCTGCCGAAGAGTGAGTGGTTGCGACGGTGCATCGGCTGATCGTCGGTGAAGTCCTGTTGGAAGCGAGATTAAAGAAGGGGATGAAAGAGCAAAAGCGGAGCACGGGGAGAGAAAAACGAAGATATACCAATCAACGTAATTAAACATGACCTAGTCATGACAGCCTGCAGGTTTGTTGTTGCAGCAAAAGAAGGATTGAAGCTTTCAGAACGCCGCGCAAATAGAACGAACGAACGAGTGAGTAACTTTTTGGAAAAAAATAAAAGACGTCGCGTTCAAACAATTGTCAACACAAACTTTTGGCACATCGAACGTCTTGCCTTTATCCATGATACACACATCGATATCAGCCTGGTATTTCTCACCCCATTATAAATTTTAGGTCGCCCAGTCCTTACAAAAAAGATTTCTCACCAACCTGATCAAGGTTCCCAGACACGGCTCTTCGTATCTCTGGCCCCATTTCATGAAGCTCTCGTAAGCCAGCTTGCAATGCGACAGTTGTTTCCTGTGCGTCAGCGCCAATGCGGTCTTCTTTTTTCTTCTTGAAGCGACGGAAGTAGTCTTGTATAAGGAAGGTGGCGTAGAACTTGCCGACGGTCACGTCATCGTCGGTTGCGGGGGGCACTACCTGATCGAGGAGTTTAGGGGACGTTCGTTTCCAAATCTTTCGGATGATAGCCCGCAGCTCCTCGTTGGCTTGATCGATATTACCATCGGTCTTGATCTTGAGCGAGGTACGTACCACGGCAAATAGGGTCGCATTAAACATAACCGTACCATCTGAGTTGAGCGGCATGTTCATCGATACCAGTTTCTTACAGGCAACTCGGTGAGGGCAGAGTTTACCGAATCCCAGGGGAGGCTGGATCTTCCTCAACAGTGTGACTACATCCAAGTGCTTGATGCGGCCTTTAGCGTCAGGGTCGTATTCGGACCACAGTCGAACGAACTCGTCGAGGTGGTGTGGTCCGAGAATAGACCAATCTCGAGTGAGATAATCAAAGTTGTCCATGATGACAGCCACGAACAGATTAATAATAAGAAATGAGCACAGAATGTAGAACGAGATGAAGTACATAAACGCCATGTCATTACCGCAACTACTGGAGTCGTCGGCGTCTGCTTGTTCGTCACACTTGACCGTGTGGTCGCTGACACACGATAGCATGATCTCCTGCCAAGACTCGCCGGTCGCTGACCGGAAAAGCACCAGCACAGCTTGCTGGAACGTTTGAAAGTTATTGTTGCGGTCGATCGCTGACTCGTTGTTACTTAGTCCGATCTTCCCGAAGAGTTGCATGCCGATCACAGCGTAGATAAAGAACAGCATCACAATGAGTAGAGCGACATAGGGGAGTGCTTGGAACGATTTGATGAACGTCCAGAGTAATGTTCGAATGCCCTCACCGCGAGACAGGAGTTTGACCAGGCGCATGACACGAAACAGTCGAAAGAAGTTGATCGAGATAAGATTCTTATTGCTACCCGGATCCGAGTAGACGATATCGATTAGACTTCCTAGCACAATAATGAAATCGAACACGTTCCAAGCGTCCGAAAAGTAGTTTTTGAATCGGAAAGCCATCAGCTTAAGGACGAATTCCATTGCAAACACCGCAGTGAAGATGATGTTTAGCCTGTCTAGCACCTGGCTGTAAACGTCCGGTTGATTGTAAAACTTCATGGCCAACGTGAGTGTATTGGTCATGATCAACACGAACAGAGCATATTCGAAATACTGGGAAGTGACAAACCACCACATCTTGTACTGGAACTTCGCCTTTGGAATATATCGGCGAACGGGGCGTGCTTTTAACGCGAACTCAATACAATTTCGCTGATTTTTGTCCAGTTCGCAATTCTTATACTCCTGTTCTCCCTCGTTCTGGAACGTGACGATAACGAAACCCACAAAAATGTTTACCATAAAGAACGCGATGATGATGATGTATACGATGAAGAAGACGGCCACAATGGGTCGGTAGTTCATACGCGGTCCGACGTTTTCGGTGTTCGAGTCGATGGCCACATAGAGCAAGTCAGGCCATCCCTCAAATGTCGACACTGTGAACAGCGTTAACATCGCCTTGGGAACGTCGTCAAAGTGGAACTTGTAACGACTCCACTGGCGCACCTCCTCCATCGGCCGGTAAATGTTACCATCTGGGTACGTTATAAACTTCCCACGACACTCAGCCTCGGTCATCTTCGACCTATCGTTACACGCGAAGAACTTGCCCTTGAATAGCTGCACTCCGATGACAGCAAACATGAAGTTCAGTAAGAATGTCACCAGCATAATGTTGCCTGGATGTCAATTCAGATTACAGATACATATATGGCGAGGGAAAGGAAACAATCACAACAAAGTTCGGAAATTAGCAACAATTATTTGGTATATTTTTCGGATCGCAGACTCGTATCAGGACAAAAATAGACAAAAGATTTTTAAGAAGTGCTGAATGGGACGATTTCGTTATAAGGGTGTGCTCGAAAATCTTAGTGTAATTATATA